ATTGAAAGCTACAACCAACATTTCTTAAAGTATTTTGCATAATCGCATAATAAAATACAAGATTCTCAAAAAAAAATTGTATCATGTACCCACCTACTGACATCCCACTGAATGGGATATATAAGAAATATTATTGGTAGGTATACTGACGAATGAGAGGATGGGACATACAAACAACCGTGTGGGGTAGCCTACAGGTTAATACTATTAACAGATTATCATGAGAAATCAAAGATACGATCCCTGCAGGTAGACCTTACGATATTCGCCCACAGACAATCCCAACAAATGTGTGAAAAAGCCGAAATTTTAGTACAGATGTTTATCAGAGGTTTGCAAAAGTGTCCTCACCCTTTACACTAATCAATGGGGGCCGGAGTAGCCCGGTCGACATGACTGTCAAGAAACAGGCGAAAGTGGCGGTCGAGTCCAACTGGGTTCTTTACCGAGCGGCATGGCCTAGAGGTTTAGACCATTGCTTAGCATTCGGGAGGACGCCGGTTCGATTCAGGGTCCGTCTGCCTTGGTCCAAGTTTTTCTGTGGTTGCCTTGGATCACTTAGGCAAATGCTGAGGCAGTAATATTCCACAGATAATCTTTCATTCTCTTCTGTCTTCATTTCGTCCGTCTCATCTTTCTCACCCGAACCACCACCCACCCATTCCNTGAAATAATTATTTCCTTTTGTTATCCCTTCCATTTCGTAGATAAGCTCCTTCTTTCGTAATCGAGTGCTCTTCCAAATGGGTATCGAACCCAATAATATTGCGACCGTAGTCCGACACGCTACCCCTGAGCTACGGGACGATAATTAGAAAATTTTCGTAGGTACTATTTAAGTTGCGAGGGGGGCTTCACTTGCCTACGAGATGGAAGTGCTTGTTTTGGGAGTGCAAGGGAGAAGAAAAAGAAAGAAAGATGCGTCATTATTACTTATTCTCTCGTACTAATTGCACTACCCTCAGATCGCGGCTCCTAGCGGAGTCAAAATTTGCCAGGCTCTGGTGTAGAGACTAGTACTAGGGTGGACCCCTGGTGGGAAATTCTCCTGCTTGCCCAGCCGTTTAAGGTTGATGGTAATTACACCTCGCATGCTAAAGAAGAAAGTAATCACTTCGACATGTGAGCGGTGTATATCCGTTTGGATACCAATTCTGTTTAAAGTGGTGGGAATGAGATAATTCCCGCCCGAACCAGACGATTCTCACCTTTCAAGAGAAACTGGTAGCAGTGATTTCGGCCACCGTGCGTTATTGATCGTATCTTAATTTCGCGCTCAAGGGGGGCATGAAGTGTAAACCGCAAAGTAACTCGGGAGTTAGATTAGGTTAATGTCATTTATGCAAATGTTGGAACAATAATAGTATTCCACAGAGAGTTTTTCACTTGTGTCTTCATTTCGTTCTTCTAATATTTTCCTCCCTATCCATCTCCCACGCATTCTAACGATCTTTGTATGAAGCTAAAACAGACTTTCCACCCTACCCGCGGATGTGCATCATAGCATGAACGAACGAACTACCCATCTACCACCATTAGCTGGTGGGAATGAATTACCCAAAAAATTTAAGTGATGTATAAACACAATGTGTGGTCTGATGGTAGGATGGATTACTTTAAAATTTTGACGAAACCGTAATTTAGCAGAATTTTGTTACTATCAGTTACCCTATAGATAATAGTACGTACAACCAAGTATACCAAAAAATTAAAGTAAAATCAATTGATAAAAATCACTATTTTATATGGTCATTTCTATTTAGAATATGTGTGTAAATTTTAAATATTTAGTTTAGCATTTGTATTTTGCAGATCTTAACCCTTGGGACCCTTTTGGTTGTTGCAGTACATGGCCATGATCATTATCATAAAGTAAGTTACAATAAAATATATTTTATTATAATTTTAACGTAAATGACTACAAGCCAATAAATTCATAACACCAGAAGACTCTAACATTATTTTCTGAACCTATTAATCTCATTACATTAAAAGACTGTAGATTCTAACATTATTTTCTGAACCCATTAAATTTATGGCTTTCTGATTTTCCTTTTACTTGTGTTGTAAAAAAATGCTTCTTGATAAATTTCATGATTCTAGGAATGTACTTTAAAGGTTTTGATTCCCTTACGAGATTCAAAATATGCGGCATCTTTTGATTACGTAGACTTACAAGTTTGATTTTTTTACAGCTTCGAAGGACTTGAGTATTTGATATTAATTTCAACTTGATACCTCCACGCCTTCGTGAGAAAAAGACAGACAGACAAACAGACAGACTACAAAGTGATCCTATAAGGGTTCCGTTTTTCCTTTTGTGGTACGGAACTTTAAAAAGGAATATAATCAGTTTGATAACAGTGAGGACAATATTTCCGGGACTTCACCAGCTATCATCTCCGTTTAGTAATTTTCAAAATATCCAATTTCGATTAGCGCACACTCCATTTGGAGTTATATAGTTTTGGGTTATTTCGATGATATTAAGATTTCAATTTTTACACGCAACTGAACATTCTCCATTCCAACAATTTATATATAAAATTGAAATGATAGCCAACTTATAAAAGGGTTTCCTTTTTCAGGCACCTGCCCATTATCACTTCAGTTACGGTGTTCACGATGCTCATACCAAAGACCATAAGTCTCAACATGAAGAAAGAGATGGACATGTTGTCAAGGGTTCTTACTTTTTGGATGAACCTGATGGTACCAAACGTATTGTAGAGTACGTTGCTGGACCTCACAGTGGATTCCAGGCTGTCGTCAAACGCATTGGACATGCCCATCACCCTCAACATTACGGACATGGTCACCATCACGGTTACGACAAACATGGTGGCGAAAGCTACGTAGGAGCTACTCATTGGGGACACCACTGATCAATGTTACTTGAATATGCCGAAACATTTGTACTGATAATACTCTACTGTACCTTATTATTATCCTTTTGTTTATATCGTTGAATTATTATTCTCATTTATCTCAAATAAATTATTTAAGAAACTCTATACTACTATAATTAATATACATTTGAGATAAATCTATTAAAATCGTAACATTTCCTTAATTGATATATCAGACATAAACTTCAAATACAGTAAGTGACTATAAAGAATATTAATTTAATGGTGATGCAAGTAGTATATGAAAAACAGAGGAAAAAAACAACAACAATTAACTTGCCCAAATGTACACTTCGTTTAGTTTCTGTAGCGATGTGACCTTCAGTTTGACCGGCGCAAAGTAGAAAAGAACAGCACTAGGCCAGAAAAGAAAGGAGAAAACTCTCGGCCAAACTCTTAACCGGTGAAGAGCGTATAATCCGTACAATACTGCACGGAAAAATTGACCATTTTATCTACTACAATTGCATTGCTCAAATGTGCTGTTATTGGTACCATTTACTACTGAAAATATCAACGAGATGTTTATTTATATTTGAAGACATATTAAAGG